CTATGGGTCGGAACCGACTCGACGGCACTTAACAACAACAACAACCAGTGGAATGGTCTTGTCTCAGTTTTACCACCATAGGCCTTTGGATTTTGTCTTCCTTCACTGTGCTAACTCATTATCCTTCTTTCATTTGTGTTCCCATCTTTCTATGTTGTTTTTGTTGTACTTAAGTGCCATCAAGTCTGTTCCAACTCATAGTGACCCTGTGTAGGTTTTCCAAGGAGCAGCTGGTGGCTTTGAACTTCTGACCCTGTAGTTAATAGTCCAGTGCTTATCCTTGTTGTTAGGTTCTATCAAGTCATTACCAACTCAATATATTGTGACCCTACACACAACAGAACGACACTCTACCAGTCCCTCGCCAACCTCACGATCACTGCTGTGATTGAACATATTGCTGCTGTCACTGTGCCAATACATGTAGTTGGGGTCTTTCTCTTTGTTTCTGCCTCCGAATGCAAAGCTGTTTGAACTGCAAGGTTGGTGGTTCAAGTTCACCAGTTGCTCCTTGGAAACCCTATACAGGGTCGTTATGGATTGGAATTGACTCAATGGCACTTCACTACAACAAAATTTTACCAAACATGATATCATTCTCCAGGGACTAGTCCCTCCTGACAATCTGTGCAAAGTATAAGAGATAAGTCTGGCTGTCCTGGCTTCCAAGGAGTGTTTTGGCTGTACCTCTTCCAGTAGAGATCTGTTTGTTCATTTGGCAGCCCATGGTACTTCCAATATTCTCCTCTAACACCATAACTGAAATGCATCAACTCTTCTACGGTCTTCCTTAGTCACTGTGTAACTTTCACATGCCATGGCTTGAGTCAGGCGCACCTTAGTCCTCAAGCTGACATCTTTGTACGTGAACACTTTACAGAGGTCTGTTTAGCAGACCTACCAGCGTCTGCTTATCCTATAGCCCCACAATAGAGTTTCAGTTATTGCCAAGTCTCACTGATACTTCAGTGTATGGTACTATTTCTTGTTCTCCTTATTTTTGTGTGATGATTTTGAAGAGAGGCTGAAGGAATTTTAACTCTTGCCATCTTAGAAATGGAAGTCTTGTTTCTCAAGAGGTGGATATCAGAAAGTATTTTACGTTGACTGGCACGTATAGTGAGAGACACTGTGACTTTGGCTGCTGACTGCTGTCCGGACTTGTTAAACTTAAATGCTCGGCTTGAATAATCAAATGTGTAAGCTTACCCAGCCTTCCTGTTTCCTTGCCAAAGTGTATTAATTGACTTTACAGACTGACTTTGATCAAGTTAACAGGGTTTGTGCTATGTATGTCATTAGTAGGAAATTGAGATGTGTCCAATTTAAAACATATTTTTTCAAGCTAAAGAGTCTTCAGCACCTGACTTACCATCTGAACCTAGGGAAGAGCACCCGAGGAAATGACGCAGACAGTGACTGATGGTGGCTGGAAACCAGGGTATCACAGGTGGGGTGGAAACTCAGGTTTCCCTGGACTAGACGGTGACAGCGTTTTTTCATCCTTTGTTAAAAAAAAACTTTTCTCAGATGTAGTGAAAAAATGACATGACATGTGACTCCCATTCTTGGATACATATCTGTTTGTTGTTGTTGTTGTTGTTGTTGTTAAGTGCCATCAAGTCACTTCCAAGTCATAGCAATCCTCTATAGGGTTTCTGAGGAGCAGCTGGTGAGCCTGAACTGCTGACCTTGAGGTTCAAACCAACCTTGCAGTCCAGTGTATTAACCCACAGCACCGCTAAGTTGATTATTGTTAGATGATCGATGAAACATTGTTTAATCTACAAAATGTGTCAGTTGCCCAAATTCAATGTGTTTGATTTTGCGCATGCAAATATTTCAAAATGTATTGTACTCTTAAGAGTTTGCAAACTACTTAAATAAATATACCTGGGATACCAAGTGGTAATGTCTGCCAATTAGCCAAAGCCAAAAACAGCAGATGTGATGAAAGGAAACAAGGTCACCATCAGTTGGGGACACTGCTGGTCTTGGCAGTCCTAACAGTTTGTGGACATACATAAAGGCCTCTGGCCGCCCAAGTCAGTTCATCACGATACAGCTGGCTCTTCTCTACCTGTGGCCTTGTGTCCCTTGGAGCACCTACCAAGAGCATACCTCCTTTTGTAAATTTGCCTAGAAACTGACTGGCTTTTATGCCGTTCAGCATAGTTGCCAAATCTTGTGGAGAAGGTAGGACTTGAGCTGAGACAGGCCAAATTGGGAGGATTTCATTGCTCAGAGAGAGGAAGGAATGAACCACCCAATTGGGTGAAGTAACTGGAGAACCAGTTGTTGAGAAGCAGATTCCTGTAAGCAGCGCTGTCCAGGGGAGGCATTTAGTCTGAATCTTCTGAGCAGTAGTATTAAAAGTTTTGACTTTTGAGAAACAGGTGAATTGTTTTTAGTGATATATTTTTACTTACTGTCTCCAGAATCTTTTCATTTCAACATGCCAGTAATATAAAACAGTGAAATGGTCTGCACCTTTTTGTCTCAGTTCTTCAAAATCAAGTACTGATTTTACTTTTGTGGCTTAGCTCAACTCAGATGCTGAGTTTGTATCCAAAATACTTGTTATGTTTGTATATTGCAAGACAGTTATAATTGAAAAGGTAGATTTCCATCCCCAAGTTGCTGCAAACATGCTTAAAAGAAAAAAAAATCAAATTAAAATGAATTGCGGTCCCATTCTGTGGTCCACTAGACACATTGCTTAGAGTGCCCGTGTTGAACAGGGCAGCTCTCCCTCCAGGAATCAGGGAGACCCGGCATAGGCACAAAGAATACATTCGAAAGTGTTTTGGTACATAAATCTCATATATCCCATATGAGGATATTGCAAACAGAAATCAATTAGAATCTCTCAACCCCAGAAAACACTGTGGTTAAATAAAGGTTGTGGGATAAAGCACTGAACTGTAAGATTGGTTTGGACCACAAGGTCAGTTTGAACTACAAGGTCGGCAGTTCAAACTCACCAGCTTCTCCTTGGAAACTCTACAGAGCGCCGCTATGAGTTGGAACCAATTCAATGGCACTTAACAACAACAAAAAAGACATAACCCAATTATTTTTCTTTTCTGAAATTTTTTTTTTTTTTTTGCCGTCCTGTCATCCAAGTTCATATGACCCAATTCTTTTGGTCACTGAGTAAATTGGTCTTTTATTATGCCTTATTTACTGAAGGCTTTCTTGAAGACTCAATCACTCTTAGAGACAAAAGGCAGTTTTTCTGTTCCTACTTTATAAGCTTTATTTACAGCTTCAGTAATTGGCATACAATAAGCAGCACATATAAGGAGCTCTGGTAGCATAGTGGTTAGGAATTGGGCTGCTAACCTCAAGGTCGGCAGTTCAAAACTACCAGCCGTTCCACAGGAGAAAGATGAGGTTTTCTGCTCCCGTAAAGATTTACAGCTTTGGAAACCCTGTGCAGGGTCACCGTGAGTTGGAATCAACTCCATGGTACTAAACAACAACATACAGTACGTACAGTTTAATGAGGCCTCACACAGACAAAGCTAGGAACATTTGTATCATCTGCAAAAGTACCGTCAGTTGCACATGTCTTTATTTATAGAATTTCTTACTCTTCAAGGAGACTGAAGAGCAGGAGTGTATTTAAAATCTTTAATGACCTCTCTTGTACCATTATTAATCTTTTATTTCCTTGTTAGTGGGAAAAGGGAGGTGCGAAGGCTAGAAACTGTAGCTTTTTACCCATTGCATTTCAACATTTTAGTAGCCAGTACCCCCAGCGAGTTGGATTGGCAAAGTGGCAGCATCAATGGGCTTAAGTGTGGCAACAATTGAGAGGTTGACACAGGACTGGGCAGTGTTTCGTTCTATTGTGCATAAGGTCGCCATGAGTCGGTACCAACTCCATGGCACCTAACATCAACAGCTGTTTCAGTAGTCCTGGTATGGTGCTGTGGACTAATGCGTCCGACTGCAAAGTCGTTTGAACTGCAAGGTCGGTGGTTCAAGCTCACCAGCTGCTCCTTGGAAACCCTATACAGGGTCGCTATAGGTCAGAATCGACTCGCGGGCACTTAACAACAACAACAGTGCTGTCAGCACAGGTGATGGCTCACTAGTACAAGGCTGTATGAAAGGCCTTTTTAGTTTGTGACCTCAACAATTGCTGGCGGTGATGGTTCAGACTAGTCCCTCAATTGCCAAAAGATGCTTTATTCTAGGGAGACTGTTCCTTAGACCTCGAGAGCCTCACAGTATCCATTACGTGAGTGAGTGGGCTATGAGAAAGCCAGATCCCCTCTTCTCACCATCTCATGCTGTCCACAGAGGATGCTCGGAGCTCTGCCGCATCCCCATGGTGGAATACAAACTGGACAGCGAAGGTACGCCGTGCGAGTACAAGACACCCTTTAGGAGGAATACCACCTGGCACCGGGTGCCCACCCCTGCCACCATGCAGCCCCTGTCCAGAGCCTCCCCTGTGCCAGGCACACCTGACCGTCTGCAGTGCCAACAGCTTCTCCAGCAGGGCCAGGCAGCCATTCCTCGCAGCACTTCCTTCGACCGGAAGCTGCCTGATGGCACAAGGTAATGGTGTTTCCTGTCCTGGGATCCTGTGGCTTCTTCAAAGACAGCTCTTGTAACAGGCGGGGTTTAAGAACACAAAATGATGTGGGGGACTTTGTGTTTGACTTAACCATTTCTAAGTAGCTTGTTCTGGTCAGCAAGATGACTGCAGTCACTGACTCAGCGGTACTTGGTGCATCTTTCTCCTGACCCAGCAATTCTTACACACACCTCAGCCCACCCAGGGAAATGGTGGGTTCTCTATCTGTCCTGGTACCCTGGCCAATTTGCTCTAAACGACCTTGGGAAAGGGACTCTGGGAATTACGCTGCATGCACCTCGAGACAAGTATAATTTTGAGTTATCAGTAGAACTGGCCCTGCAAAATTAATGATTGATTTCCACTGTCATAATGCATTTATTGCTTTAAGAGGTTTTACAATCATTAGCATTTTTCTTTCATTTTCTCTCTCACTTTTTAAAAAGTGGAAGTGACTTCAAAATTAAATTAAAATATCCAATGGAAGAATGCACTGATTTAGAAACCTTTGAGCATTTTTTTGGGAGCATAATTTGCATAGGTCATTCCAAGTGAACAACATAGTGCTAATCTGTTTTATTGGTGCTAATTCCTATTCCTGTTTATTTTAGCTTTCCCATAACTGGACATGCCATAGACTCACTATTAGTTTGCTCAAAGCAATTTGTCATGACTCTGTAGGATAAGATAAGCACTGGACTGTTAACCACAAGGTCGGCAGTTCAAACCCACCAGTGGAGGATTTACATTCTCCAAAACCCTATGTGGAATCACTGTGAGTTGGAACCAATTCCGTGGCTCTAGGTTTGGTTTCGGCTGAGAGCATGATATGAACCAGGCAGCCCTGGTTCAAGTCCCTGCTCTCCACGTCTTAATGTAGTGAGAAACAATGTCAGTCTCCTGGATACTGCCACCGTCCCTATTGGAGTTATCATGAGTGCTTACTGCCACATGTTCAAGAAATCCAATCTGTACTCATTTTAGTGAGAGTGAGGCTTTTTTATTCAATTTTGCAAACTCAGGTGCCAATCCCAGAAGACAAGGGCAGATGCACTGCGTGGCTGTTTTGCAAATAATTTTATTCTCCTCGCTCTAGAAAACCCCTCCCCCTGGTCTTCATTGACTGAGTACTGTGGGGTTAACAATCTTTCCTGGAAGTGGCCTACATTCCCTTGATGGGAGGGAACATTCTTATTAAAAGTTCCTAGTCTTTGAAAAGGTTCTTTCACCTACCCCAGATGCCTGGGATCCTGTTGCTGTGTCCATCAACAATCTGTGTCTGGTCTAGCATTTTCCTAGACCCACTTAGACCTGAATGGACCATCTTGAGAATTCATTTCTCACAAAGTACATTACCTGGAGCTGGTTCCTTGTCCTCTGGCTGCCTCCAATTTCCTCATCTTCAAAAAAAAAAATGGCAGTGATTCAGATCTCAGTTGGCATTATGAGGGTGAAATGAATTAATATGTGTAAAATGCTTAAAACTGTACATGGCCATGTAGTAAACTTGTTTACGTATTCATCATAATTAATTGATAGAAAACTAGAAATGTCATTATCTTCTGCTTTCTCTGGTCACTCCTTTCCTGAGTGTTCCAGTTTGAATTTGACATTTTAATTGACCCACCTTTGTTCTGAGTCTCCTTATTCAAAGGTCTGCTGAGTTGATAAACTACTCACATTCAAAACAATATACATAGGAAGGCCAGTTAAAGGGGCAGCCCGAAGCAGGTAACTTGAGAAAAGGAGATGATCTGCAGAATCCCCCTCACTGAAATAGAATTCAGTAAATTAAAAAAAAAATAAAAAACTCAAGAGTCTGAGGACCAGGGGAACTTGGCAATCCATATTTTCATCAAGTGAATTCTTGAGTTTTACTCATTTTTATGTCTGAAAAAAGATGAATGAGGTTACATTCAATCAAGGTATAAATATGAATGGTTTTGTCAAATTTAGATTTTTCTCCTTTGCATATAGTTAAATATAAAACCAAACATGGCTGTGGCTAAGTATCATATAACAAGAAGTATTAATGTTTATATAATGCTGTGTTCCTGGGAATTGTATTGGAGTTCTTCCATATTTCACAGGAATCATTATCTGAGGTTTAAATCTTTGGCTGGTAAAGCTTCCTTCTGTCTGCACGCCGTTCCTTAAACATGCTGCCAATCATAAACCACCCAACAGCTCACAGTGTCCCAGGCTCTTAGTTTATTTATCCATGGTTTATTCTGTTTCACATTGAAATGCCTATTTTTTCTTTTCGTTGCCATTGTAAAAATGAATTTATTTGTAAAACAAAACAGGCCAGGTCAAGATGTTGGCCCTCCACAGATTCCTCAGTGCACTGTTAATGACTCTGGTCAACATTGCAGAAGTTCGCCCAGCAACCAATCATCTTCCAGCGACCCAGGGCCGGGCACCGGTGGTGGCCACTGGAGACAGCAAGTGGGATATGACGGGTACTGCCCTTTTACCTTTTCGCTGTTCTCTGGGATATTTATACAGTATATACAAGGCATTTTGGGGACTATGAAACCTCCAGGTATGGCTTTCCATCAAATGACTTGACCAGATGAGCAAATTCAGTATTTCTGGGTTTTAGGTAGCACCCGTGCATCTGTATCCTAAGCCAATTTTTTTTTTTTTTTTTTAAATAAAAAGAGGGTTTTCTTAACATGTGAAAGTTAAGGATCCAGGGGGCTCTGTGGACAGAGGCCCCTTGGGAGTTTTTCACTCTTTTAAATTGCTGAAGCCTCCCTTGCCAGTTCCTATTCTTGAAGACACACCACTCAGAATCAGAAAAAGCAGATTTAGTGTGTGGCAACAAAAGCATTGGGCATATCCTTTTTGCCTTCTGTTTGAGAAGAAGTTTGCCTCGAAGGTTTAACTCTGAACCCTTCCTTGTAATGTGTTCATTGCCAGGGGTTCCTTGTGACCATAGTGACTGCTGAGCTGACTGGTGCTAATAGCTCATGGAAAAAACATAAATACCTTTCAGGGAAGAAAGAACAGTGTTTGTGCAGGCCTGCTTCTCTGGGGAGCAGCCATTGCTCCTAGCAGCGGTATTTGGAATGTCGCTTTGCTATGGAGTTGAGCCTCCACGACTTTAAAGGAGCTGGATGGGAATGGCTTAAAGAATTGGCATTGGAAAAATGTCAGCGTGAGAAGATAAGCTTGCTTTTTCTGAGTTCACATGTACAATGAGTGGGAAATTTTTTTCCTTGGTGCCAGTTCTCTGATGGTTTGGCTTTGGAATAGATACTTAAGAGGCTGAGGTGCATATAATTTCCCACCTTTCATACTAGGTGGAGTTTTGAAAAGTTATAGTTAAAGTGAGATTTCTAAGTGAAATCATAATTTAAAAGTAGAGAGGCATTTTTATATAAATGGAAAGATACTACCTGACGTTTTCTGTACGTCAAAGAATTGTTTTGTTAGGTAAGAATTATTTGATTTATTTCATCAGTAAGATTACATTTTTATAGTTTGGATTTTCATAAAACAATGTCCACCTGGATACAGTCTGTTGTGTTGTTGTTGTGAAGTGCTGTCGAGTCTGTTCCGACCCATAGTGACCCTGTATAGGGTTTCCAAGGAGCAGCTGGTGAACTGGAACCAGCAGCTTTGTGGTCCAGTATGCTAGCCCACAGCTCCACACCAGGACTCTGTGTAATGAATAAGGAGGATCAATTTCCTGTATCTTTCCAGGTGCCAGTCTCCTCTGCTGCTTGACCACCAGGGTTCCGGCCCTTTGGAGTGTGAAGGTGCCAGGGAGCGGGAGGACATCATGGAAGGAAGCAGACACCCTGGTAATAAGAAACTCCATGAGGAGAAACCTTCCTTCCTTTCTTCCTCCCTCCCTCCCTCCCTCCTCAGCCCCTTCTTTTCCCTGCACTTCACTCTTTCTTCATTCCTTCACTCATTCAGCACATATTCAGGGAGCTTCCCTGTGCCACATGTGGAGGTGTGAATAAGTTGGGCTCCCTCTGTAGTAGGAGATGTAGCCACAGTTGCTGGTTGTTGGGGTGGCTTTGGAAATGGGACATGAACTTTATAGCATTGATGTGCTTACTCTTAAGACTTATCTGCTGGTAAGTCCACAAAGTTCCAGAACTCTACCCCTATACATTTTTACAAAATCATTTGTTTCATGTGCTTACACCAACATCAGAAATTTGACACTCAACGCTTCTTTCTTTATGCAGCAGAAACCAAATGGCATGGCCCACCTTCCAAAGTTCTTAGTGCCTATAAGGAAAGAGCCTTGCAGAAAGATGGAAGTTGCAAAGATTCCCCCAATAAACTTTCTCACGTAAGTCTTTTGTTCATAAATGAATTGCCCTTTTAACTAGGACTGAGGCATCTCAAGGAGTCCTGGTGTGGCACTGTGGGTTAATGCACTGGATTGCAAGGTCGGTTTGAACCACAAAGTCAGCAGTTCAAGTTCACCAGCCACTCCTTAGAAACCCTATACAGAGTTTCTGTGAGTCTGAACCAACTTGACGGCACTTAATAATAACAAAAATGCGTCTCAACACACATCACTAGTGTAGCATTATTGCCAGGATTCTTAAAATAATGACATTTACCTCACGGGTCGCTTTGAGATTTTTTGTTTTTTTAAAGTGTTTAACCCTTGATTTATAAAGTACCTCAAATGAAAGGCAAAGCCAAGATTCTATCACCAGCCTTTTGATCATTAGTAACCTATGTTGTAGCTACTAAGTCATGTTTCTATTTTTAATCTGTTAGCCATGTACCCTTTTAAGGGCATAATGCAAAGAAGTCTCTGTGCAGTGGAGTGTGGTCAGAGATGCTCTGCTGCCGGGCAGACACTTCAGGCACAGTCGTGGGTGATTCATGGTGATGGGGCAGCAGCCAGCATGTACGCAGTCTGAGAACAGTGCCTGGCACATCCCCGCCAGACCTCTGCACACTTGGCTTACTCCTCACAACAAACAGATGGACTGTAGCCCAGTTAAACACAACTTTCACTTAAGTATGGAAACAGGAATTGCTGATTGTTGCTGTATATGTAGCCAACATTTTAAAGATTATATTGATCCAAATAGTTTCGTTCCTCTTCTTTAATGTGACATTGTAGAGCTTTCTAGTCACCTATTAGCCAACATTGTTGTTGTTAAGTGCTGTTGAGTCGGTTTCAACTTATAGCACCCCGTATAGGATTTCCAAGGAGCATCTACTGAGCTTGCACCACCAACCTTGCAGTTCAAACCGTGCAGTCCAGTGCATTAACCCACAGCGCTACGCCAGGTCTCCTGTACCTTTCCTTGCATCAGCCTTACAATATCCAATTGTTAATCCCAATGGTACAAATCTCTTAACAGTAGTTTAAGCTGTTGGACACAGGAGGAGATGGTAGAATTGAGACTATTCAGGAATGATAAAAAGGCAAAGGGGGGATGCTTAAAGACCTGGTAGGAGTAAATGACAGATGGAAAGGCCAAACCACACTAGACATGCTCTGGGGCATGCTTCTGGTGTTCTCCAGCCCTTTGCTGTAGGTCTTGTCTGTTTCCCAGGGCTACAACGAGAGGCCGTGTCTTGTAAACATAATGGACAGACAAGAAAATTGGTTCTGTTCTGTTTGCTTTGTATCTTCCAGAGACCCCAAATCACTGATTGCTTTTTCAGACCTATTGACTCTAAAGGGAATTGTATCTCTTTAACACTTGGGACATAATTTGACTAGTTTCTCATGGAGAGATACCTCCTACTTACTTCATTGTGCTTTGCAGTAGCAAAGTACTGTTGCATGTACATCGTATTTTCTCATTTGTTCCATACGTTAATCTTGTAAACTCAGTATTATAAGCACAGAGAAGAGATGATGTGACTCAAACCCAGCGCTTCTGAACCAAACTCGCACTGCTTCCATAGTTAGTTAAAGAAGCGTTTTCTTAATCTCTTTCTGCATGTGGTCTCCTTGCTTTGGTAACATTTGTTGATTGTTTTCTTGTGAGTGACACTGTTAAAATACTTCTGTGCTTCATGCATAAACAGTCCCAACAGAGACTTAAAAGAGAAAATACCACCTGAAGATAAATTATGGGAGGTCATGTGAGTCACGGACTTTTGCATAAAAAGGGAATGCTATCACCACCTCAAAGAGGAATAAGACTGGCTCCTAAGGGTTTAGATGAGATCATTTAGGTTTATGGGTTCATGAGTCCGGATGAGAAAGTTAGCCTTTATATATGGCGACAGAGTGTGAGAGCCATTTGCAAGCTACTTTGCTTCCCTTTCTTCTCAAGATCGGAGATAAAAATTGTTCGAGTCACTCCAGCAGCAATACGCTGTCTAGTAACAACTCCAGCAACAGCGATGACAAGCATTTTGGGTCTGGAGACCTGATGGACCCGGAGCTGCTGGGATTAACCTACATCAAAGGGGCCTCAACAGACAGTGGTATCGACACCACTCCCTGCCTGCCCACATCGATCCTTGGCCCATTGCACCTGACGGGCAGCCGCTCTATGATCCACAGCCGGGCAGAGCAGTGGGTGGATTCAGCCGATGTCTCCGAGCCCGATGCTGAGCAAGTGAAGTTGTACACAGCCCACGGCTACACCTCCGCCATTTCTGCCAGCAACGCTGCGGACGGCAGCCTGGGCGACCTCAGCCAGATATCCTCTCATTCCAGGTGAGTGCTCTGCGGGCCTGTGCACTGGGCTCAGTCACTGTGAGGGTGGGAGAGGAAGTATGTTCAAGACCCAACTGTTGAGTTGTGTCTTGGGTGGGGCCTCGGGTGCCAAGGACCAGCAGCATGTGCAGGAAACAGGTCGTCATGTGATTGCGTGGCTTCAGACCATGTGCCTGTTTCTGAAATCTAATCATAAAAGTTTGTTCGTTAATCACATCACATGTTTGTGATTTTACTTTCCTTTTCTCTGACTTTAAATTTGAGTGAAGTGCAGATCAAGATAGCAGTTGCTCTAGGCAGTCCACTTTCCTTTCTCTTCCAATGCACCCTGCTGTAGAACACTTGGGCAGAGTAATTAGGGATAGCACGGTATTGTGTGTGTGTGTAGCCCTACACTACAGGAACGCACACAGTTCTGTTCTGTGTCCAAGGCATTCATTACAAGACAAGGCCTTGTATCTAACGAGGAGAGTGTGCTCAGATTGGCTGTTGGGTACCTACAAAATAAAGATTAGCTAAATTGTTTTTAGCTTTAAATTGGCAGACTAGTTAAAGACATTATATTCTAAATATGTTGTTGTTAAGTGCCGTCCAGTCAATTCCGACCCATAGCGACCCTGTATAGGGTTTCCAAGGAGCTGCTGGTGACCTTGAACCACCAGCCTTGCAGTTCAAATAACTTTGCAGTCTGACGCATTAGCCCGCAATGCCACACCAGGACTCCATGTTTACCCATAGTATCCATCAATATTGCAACATGCAATATGTAATCGTGAACTAGCATTTGACATAACTTTGTACAGTGGTTTGAAGTCTAATCATTTGTGACTCTTGCCTTCAATTTCACATCAAGTCTAGGGGAGAAACACATTGACTCAGATTTGGCTGTGCCCAAAACTTAACTACTTCACACCAACCGTACTGTCATTTTCCTACTTGTCACCAAGGCCTTCCCAGGTTTATCTCTTGAGTTATTATCTGACTTTTGCCTAGAACTCTTTAAATATCAGGGGACAGAGTTGGATAGACTAATAGCAGGGTTGTCCTCCTAGACACCTAGGGAACATCTTCCCAGATGAGGGACTTTAGGGTTCTGTGTGCTCCTCAAAGGCTCCCTCTTCCTCACGAGCTTCTCAGAGTCAGGCAACAGGGGCTCAGAGTGAGTCCCAACAAATCCTTCTGCTGAAGAAGGGAAACAATAGTGCTTTACCACAAAAAAACCCAGGGTATTGTTTACCAGAGAAGAGGACTGGATGTTAGTAATAGAAATTATAAATGACTATGCTCTGGTAGTGTAATGGTTACGAATTGGGCTGCGAACCACAAGGTCAGCAGTTTGAAACTACCAGCTGCTCCACAGGAGAAAGATGAGGCTTTCTGCTCCCATAAAGATTTACAACCTCAGAAACTCTGTTCAGGGTCGCTATGGGTCAGAACTGACTCAATGGCACTTAACAACAACAACACATAATCTGCCTTCTGTCAGCTGAGGCTGAAGAGGCACAGGACATAGGAGATTATCTTCTAAATAGAAACCCCTATTATATTCCATTTCATAGTTTGACCTAAAATTGTGTAGTAGTAAATAGCTAAAATAATACAGTGACTTCAGTTACCTGAATATTCCTATCTTAATTTCAGGGACAGTTGAAAACTGGCCATACTATTTGAACTGTGTTAGGATTTTATAATCTTTTATGGTCTTATACAAGGAGCTCTGGTAGCATAGTGGTTACGAGTCAGGCTGCTAACCTCAAGGTCAGCAGTTCGAAACTACCAGCCGTTACGGGGGAGAAAGATGAGGCTTTCTCCTCCCGTAAAGATTTACAACCTCAGGGTTGCTATGAGTCAGAACCAACTCAACAGCACTTTAGCAGCTTTGTAAAACAGCTTATTCTATGAGGCATACCTTCTTGTTGTTCTGGAATGGAATTGGCATTACAGAAAGAATGCTACATTACTAGTAAGTAAAATTTCTGTGGAAACTACTTTCAAAGCAGGCTAATTTATAAATAGAGACAAGGATATTTATAGTATTATAAACATTTGAAGTGTATTTTCTTGAATACCTTAACCATTCATTAATTTAATGATGTAGACATTTAGGAAGTACATAAAAGTGCTAGATTGAATTTCTGATTGATTGTATTTTTTCCCCTACCACTTTAACTTGAATGTGTGCACAGCTGTTGTAGAAAATAATATATCTTGAATGACTCTTTTATCACTTGGCTGCCCTTTACTTATCATTTTCTGGAGATGATGACTTTGAAGTCAATTCCCAGCTCTCATTGTACTTTAGTTCAATATGAAATTCAGTCCTCACATTGAATCTCGTAGTACTTCAACCTGTGCAGGCACACTAGTTGTTAAGTGCCGCAGAGTTGGTCCCGGCTCATAGCGCCCCTGGGTAGGGTGGAGCAGCAGGTGGGTTTGAACCACCAACCTTGGCAGGGAGCAGTCCAGTGGTGATGATACAGCGCCACACCCAGGACTCCAAATGCACTGGAGCACATAGGAATTAAACTATCTGCCTTGGGTACTGCAGACTGAGGTAAAAGAAACTTCTATGATAGGAATTCAAGGGACTGGGATTCAAGTCACACTGAGATTCTGTAAACACTGAAGTACCAGAGTGGGAAAGTGGGCAGCAGGGGCCTGTCCCATGTAAATTAGCTGCCTTCAGTCCTCTCATTTTTCAGTTCAGATGACCGGCCTGTGAATTCAGAATTGAGGCCTGTCCCCAAGTCCAGGTGGTGAACTGGAGAGTACCAGAAACATAGGAACACTCCCTTAAGGAGTGATCTAACCAGCCCAGCAAAAGTCATACCCTACCCACAAAGCATGCGCTTCAGGTCAGAGCACTTGTTGCTGTTGTTTTTTGTTGTTGTTAAGCACTGTCAAGTCGATTCTGACACATAGTGACCCTGGTTAGGGTTTCCAAGGAGTGGCTGTTGGGTTTGAATTTCTGACCTTCCAGCTAGGAGTCCCGTGTTTTTCCTACAGCGCTAAAGCAGAGCACTTACTGGCTTCAAATGAGCATTTGGGCTGATTGTCTTGTCTCCTCACACAAGACAGCAGGCTGCCTTCTTTCTCACTAGAGTGTCTGTGTTTTGAGGCTGATAGGGACTTTGCCCATTTTATCCACATTGGTAACGCCAGCACTTAGGATGTGGTTCCTTTTCAGTTCCAATTGCCAAGTGAGTGTCAGTAGAACTCAGTAGTCGGTAGTGTCCATAGGGTATTCCATGGCTGATGTTGCACAAGTAGATAGCCAGGATTTCTTCTGAGGCAACTCTGAGTGGACGCAAATCTCCAACCTTTCAGTTAGCAGTTGTATGCATACTTTTTGTACCTTCCCCATGCCCCAGGGACTCTCTGCCTGTGGTAGGCACTTGAACATTTTGTGAGGGGAGGAAGGAACAAAAATAAAAGTTCAAGAAGGACTTACTGATTGAGTTAATAAACCCTAGGACCTGTGTAGCCTAGAAGGAGCACTGGTAGTATAGAGGTTAAGCACTAAGCTGCTAACTGAAAGGTCGGTGGTTCAAGCCCAGCCTCTGCCCCTCAGGAGAACAATGAGTCCATGTGCTTCATAAAGATGACAGCTTTGGACACCCTGTCATGTTCTATTCTGTCCTGTAGGGACACTCACTGTGAGTCCCAATTGACTTGATGGCATTGAGGTTTAGTTCCAGCTCTGCTTTCAGCCAAGAACTTTCTGACATCAGCAATGAGATTCCTCATTCCATGTTCACAGTTACAAGTGCTCAAATCAAATATATGGTTTACTCTGAATTTTTAATAAATTTTTTATTCTTCAATTTTTAATTGTGGCATATCACCACTGCCACCCCCTTAGTCCCAACCCATACATTTGAGTTACCTAAGGTTACAAATCGGGCTGTGAAACTACCAGCTGTTCCATAGGAGAAAGATGAGGCTTTCTGCTCCCGTAAAGATTTACAGCCTCAGAAACCCTGTACAGGGTCCCTGTGAGTTGGAACCGACTCCACAGCACATATCCACCAAACACTACCAACAGTCATTTGGAAATGAAGTAAACATAGAATTGTTCATATGGTACAACTCTGTTTATTGTTGTTGTTAAGTGTCGTTGAGTCGGTTCCGACTCAAAGCGACCCTGTATGTGTAGAGTTTCCAAGGAACGGCTGGTGAGTTTGAACTGCCAATTTTGCAGTTCAAAAGTGCTGATCTTGCAGTTCAAACTGATCTTGAATCGAGTGCTTATCCTATGACACCACTCTGTTGTTGTTGTTAAGTGCCGTCGAGTCGGTTTCGACCCATAGCGAACCTGTACAGGGTTTCCAAGGGTGTAAATCTTTACGGGAGTAGAAAGCCTCATCTTTCTCCCGCGGAGCAGCTGGTAGTTTCGAACCGCTAACCTTAAGGTTCGCAGCCCGATTCGTAACCACTACGCTACCAGAGCTCCACTCTAGGATTACACTAAACAGAAGTAAGGGGAAGCATGAAGTTCTTTAGGACAAGCTACATTGGTGTGTCTAATAAACGAGTAGAGTTTCTGGAATCTATAAGTCTATAAGTAGGATAGACTTATAACTAGCCTACTTCCTCCTACTGCTCTGGGCTTTTAAACCAGAAAACTCATTTTTTTCTAATTGCATGGGTAGGGAATTTCAATAAGAGCTCAAAATATAAACAGTATTCATTTTAACCTAATCAAGATTTTGCATTTTGAAGTAAAATAACTGCAATAAAAAAAACTCACGTTCCGAATTTTCTTGTAAATTGTTTATGTGGTTATCATATTATCAGTGATTATAAATTGGCAGTGGTGGTGATGATGTGCCGTGGAGGCGGTTCCGACTCATAGCAACCCTGTGTGGGGTTTCTGAGGCTGCCTTGTTGTTCCCATAGGGGGGTTGGAATCAAACTACTGACCTTACCATTAGCAGCCCAATGTATTTAGAAACAAGTCTGAAGTAGAAAAATCTCAACTTGATGGCAAGAGGGTCTTTAGCATTCTCTTTCCAGACGTAGTTTATTCCTTGCTTATTCCTAGTTTGCTCTGAGCACTTGGCTTTATTATTCCACCAGCTGGTATTTGAGCTGTGTGGACATTGTGGGAATCGAGCTAAAAACCCAGAGTGCTGGAACCCAGAGAGTTCTAACTCAGGGGACACCAGACCTGCTTCTAAAAACAGAGTTACTCCATGGAAGTAGACGAGGTGTTTGTTTTTGTTGTTGATTGTGTTTGGTGGTGGTGGTGGTTATGTGCCGTGGAGTCAGTTCTGACCCGGTATCATATTCCAGAGGCTGTAAATCTTTATGGGAGCAGAAAGCTTCATCAGTCACCGGCAGAACATCTGGTAGTTTCGAACTGCTGACCATAAGATTAGCATCCCAACTTGTAAGCACTTAAATGCTACTTACTTTTTATTTATTTTTAATTTCACCAACAAAGACCCAAAAAGGCTCAGCTTAGTTTGTTTCCTAACTATACTTTTGAACCTCTATAAGTAGTCTATTTTAATAACACTCTTAAATTTAGACTTTTTTTTTTTTACCCCCTCCACTTGATACTTGCTGTATACATAGACTTTTCAGAAAAGGTAACCATCCTGGCGTGAACGCTATGGGTTAATGCGCTGTACTGCAAAGTTGGTTTGAACCGGAAGGTGGGCAGTTCAGGCTCACCAGCTGCTCCTTGAAAACCCCATACAGGGTTGCTATGAGTCGGAACCAACTCAACGGTGCTTAACAACAACAGCATGTGTTTATCTTTCATTATACAAGGAGAGTTTGCTACCTGAAGAAGAACACTGCGGCCCACTTGAATACCAAAGCGTCTCATCTGTGAATAATCCTTTCAATCAGCATTTTTAAAAAAAATTAATTTCATTTATATATTGTTCTAAGTACTTTATGAATATTAAGTCATGTTCTTCCAAGAATAACCCTGTGAGATAGGTACTGTTAATTAACCCATTTTACAGATGAGAATACTGAGGGCCTTGCACACCGACATTGGATTTGGCCCTGGATTCCAGGCAGTTTGGCCAGAATCCTCACAATACTCATGTGTCAAATTTTCTGAAAGTGAAACTCATCTACCTTTCTAAACTCTGACATTAAGACAGTACTTTAAACCTTCTTAAAGAGTTTTTTATTTGGAAAGTAAGTCTTAATCTCTATTTTTGCTCATTTTTCATAAAAGATTTTATTGAAGAGTCCCCTGGATTTGGAGCCACCATAGGCTCTTAGATTGTTAGTGGTGGCGTGCACTCCAGCTGATTCTGTTCAAGTCAGTGCTGCTTACCCAGTGACTTGTGCTTACTCTCTGGCATTTTCTGTGTTTCATTGTTGTTAGGATTTCCAGCCTCTTATTCTGTTATTGTCACCCACGTAGCTCCCCCAGGCTAAGGACAGCACACAGATGAGGTCTGGAAGATCTCTCCGTCCTGACCCAATACGACCCCTTTCCTTGTCCCTAGAGACAGCCACTGGAGTCCTGGGGTGGCACTGTGGGATAAAGCATTGGATCGCAAGATAGGTTTGAACCACAAGGTCGGCAGTTCAAATGCACCAGCTGTTCCTTGGAAACTCTGTATAGGGTCGCTATGAGTCGGAACTGATTGGATGGCACTTACCAACAATAAGAAAGGTAGCCCTCCCCTGCCTTTTGTGGTCATGATTCCTTTGCTCTTCTGTTTAGTGTAGATTGTATGTTGTTAAGTGCCATTGAGTCGGTTCCAACTCACAGCCACCCTGTGTAGGGTTTCCAAGGAGTGGCTGGTGGGTTTGAACCAACACAGTCCAGTGCATTATCCTACAGTGCCACACCAGGGCTTTCTAGTGTGTATAATGTCTATACATTCACGAAAAGCATATTGTTTAGTTTTGCCTGTTTATGAACTTTATTTTTAAAAATGAAATCATGTGACTTTTTTACATTATGGTTGTGAGATTCACGCAGGTTGTTTGTAGCCTCAATCTGATCACTCAGCCAGTATTTTATTTCATTGAAGATTTACTCATTCATAAGTATCCATTGATATCTGTTCCTCTCTTGAGGGACCTGGGTTACCACTGCTACATAGTTAGGAGAGCAGTGTTGTTATCAACATTTCTGTGTCTCTGGTTACTCTTGTGCAAGAGTTGTTCTCAGACTCACCAGCCGCTTTCCTCACTATGAGTTAGAACTGACTCCACGGTTCTTTACAACACCACCACCACAACTTAGGAGTGGAATTGTTGGGTCATGTGTTATGCAGGTGAAAACCTTCATCAGAAAATGCCCAGTGTTTTCCAAACTGCTTTGAGCACTTTACACTCTCTCTTCCCCACAACAGAAGGCGAATATACATTGCTGCAGGTTCTTACTGGGACAGGGTCTGCTCATACATTTCCACTTTTGTCCATCTGGTCTGGTGGGTAGTGATGGAATTTCATTTGGCCTTTTTGCTAGGTGACAGCTGAGGTTGAGCATCATATATTTTTTCATTGCTTGAGCTCCCTCCCCTTTAATTTGTCAGTTTAAGTGTGTTGTCCATTTTCCTAGTAGGCTTCCACTGGCCGTAATTTTCACATCCTTCCTGCTATGAATATATAGCTTGCACATGTGCATGTTTAGACCCCATCTAGTCAGACATCCTAGCGAGGCGCGTGTGTACAGGAGACTATATCTACTTCATGCTCCCCTGGGTTCTCTTCTTTCAAAGGAGAGCAGTACACCTGTGAACCTCAGGACTTGGATGTGTGCCAGCCCTGCTGAAATCGGATTGTATTATAGCTTTTCTCTGTTTTTCTCCTCAGTGGTTCACACCATTCAGGAAGCCCATCAGCTCACTGTTCCAAAACTAGTGGTTCTCTGGATACATCCAAAGTCTATATTGTATCCCACGGTAGTGGTCAACAGGCTTCTGGGTCATTGTCCAAACCCTACCACAGACAAGGAGCAGCCAGCAAGTATGTCATCGGATGGAAGAAGTCAGAAGGCAGTCCATCACCCGAGGAGCCCGAGGTGACCAAGTGCCAGGGGTAAGAGTCTGCTTGTTCGTCTCAAGGCAAAGTCATAAACGTTGGCGAGATTAACTACACAAATGTATTTTACCCAAAGGGTGGCAAATAGTAACTTTAAAAATGCCTTTGTAAAATCGTCTTTCAATGTTGGCATTTATATTAATCTTTATAAAAGTCTTCTCTTGATTCTCACATAAAAAGTTTTAAAGAAGTCTTTTTTATGTTTAAAAGCTGACTGCAATTGAAAAAAACCATATAATGTAAGTTTCATATATTAATGTAATTTAAATTACTGTGTTAATGGCAAGAGTGTAAGATTCTCTGTAACTAGATAAGTTCAAGGCCAGTTTGAATTTCCATATAGTCTGTTTCTTAAAAATATTGCATAAATGACAACATAAATGAAAAAATGGTGGTGATGGCGGTGTGCCCGGGATCCAGTTCCAATGCGTAACGATCCTGCATGGGGTTTCCGAGGCTGTACATCTTTACAGGACCTGAAAGCCTCATTTTTCACCTGCAGAATAGCTGGTAGTTTTGAACTGCTGACCTTGAGGTGAGCAGCCCGACTCATAACCAGTACGCTACCTAATATTCTCATGACTTTGATTTCCATTTCATTTGGCAAGTTTTTGGTGGAAGACAGGAAGGGATGCTTCTTATCTGTTTGATGAAAGAAAAGAAAGAAAAACATCACTAACCCACTTTAGAACAAATGCTTATGAAAACATACATTGGTGGCTCCATAAGGTGAAACAAATCCTCACATTCTTACAGCTGCTCAGAGCTCGTTAGCTGTTGCTCCGCTTGTCTGTGTTGTCCTTTTACAATGCATTTGAGGCTGCGTGCAAATGCGTGGGACGTGTGCGTACACTGATGCCTTTTCAAAGACCTTTAGATTTTGAGCTTGGTCAGTAAATTAGTATCATTTTGTTTTTGTTTTGTCTGCCTTAAATAAAATTCAGAGGATGAACCTTCTAAATTCCTAAATAAAAAGGCACTTTTATGCTAAGATTTAGTTATAAGAAAAATCTGGGCAGTAATTGTAAAGGAGTTTTTTTAGGAAGGAATTTTAGAGAGGTAGCTACACCATTGTCATTTAAATATGAACAGTAATAATGATACGTTGGTATTTTAATATAATGAGAGCCTTCTGAGAATCTCTTAGGGCTTGAGAGAAATTCATGATAAGCATTTTAGGTTTAGGCTTCTATAAAATTGTTTTAGAAGCGCTTTGTTCATAGGAGTAAGCCCTGTGTAAAGAGGCCTGCTCTCTGAGAGTCAGAAATATGTGAAAGGAGGATACAGAACACCAGCTTTTCATCATGCAGCTCATAAGATACTGACTTTTAAGTTAAATAGAGTCATTGTTGGGAAAATTGTTAACACTGGGTCGGAGTCTCCAGGTACAAATATGTGCACAGGCCTAGGACAAAAAGGAGTGTGAACCAAAATGAGTCACTGAGACTATCTGACAGATGACAAAACAAAGGATGTATCCATGAGCAAGGTGCTCCATGATGCCAAAAGCTCAACAATGACTCAACACACAGATTAGACCCTAAGGGGGCAGGGGAACTAGTGCATTGGAAACAAAACTACCAGAACACAATGAAAGAGAATGTTGATAACATTATTGGGAACTGTAACTCATGTCCCTGAGCAGTTTGTATAGACATTTTCAAATGAGAAGATGTTTTTCTGTGTAAACTTTCAGAGAACCAAAAACATAATAAAGTATTATTTTTAAAAACAAAGAAATACAAAGTGATCATTGTGAAATGTGACCAAAGAGGGGTGGGTGTGGGGTTCTATTGGAGACACTGATGTAGAGATTCTGGCAGACTCTTAGGATACTGGGAGCAGGTTGCAGGCTCCTGCACATCTCCTCAGGCATGCACTGAGTGCCGGGACTTTAGAAGTCATTCCGTCACCCTGCTGCTTTTAAGAAGGGGCCTTTGAGCTTTGAGCAATCACCTTCTCAGGCAAGGCCTGTCTCTATTGACCATCCTTATGTGTACCAGACGTCCCAAATCACACCCAGCAAAGTGCAGTTTCTAAAATCAGAAGGTACTTGATTTCATGCAGAAATCATCAATATGTAACCGTTGGACACAGGGCTGCTCCAAGTATGTAATTGAAATTTTGTCCTAACAATGTAATTGTCAAATCCCCAAAAGATATGCTTAGAAAAGAGTTCAACACCAAGTGCTTTATATTTGTGACATTTAGAATTGGGGTTGACAGTTCAAAGCCATCCAGCAAGCTGCACAGGAGACAGACCGGACGGTCAGTCCCCATAAAATGACCGCCTCGGAAACCCGGGCAGGCTGTTGTACACTGGTGCACGAGGTCACTATGGATTGATATGGACTTGACAACAACCCACAGCACTATTTCATTCAGAAGGAAGTAACGCAATCCATCTGCCCTACGGAAGCCTGGCATAGCTCTCGAGTGTCCGTTACTTCTTTCAAATAGTATTATCAAGCTCTCACTGATTATTTTTATTAATAGTATAATCTCGTATTTTAAAACACTGTTTAAAAGTGCATTGTTAATGTATTCATAATTTTTGTATTTACCACGTGTGAAAAGCTAGAAAGGGCATTGTTGTTGTTAAGTACCGTGGAATCAGTTCTGACTCATAGTGACCCTGCGCAGGGTTTCCTAGGCTGCAAATCTTTACGGGAGCAGAAAGCTTCATCTTTCTCCCACGGAACAGCTGGTAGTTTCGAACTGCCGGCCTTGAGGTTATATATATATATATATAATTGGTGTTGTTTAAGTGCCATCGAATTGGTTCCGACCCATAGCAACCTGGTATAGGGTTTTTGAGGAGCGGCTGGTGAAATTGAACCACTGAACTTGCGGTTCCAACAGACTCTGCGGCCCGTCCAGCACATTAGCCCACAGTGTCACACCAGGACTCCATAGATGTGGTGCTGTGGGATAAATGACTGAGCCACCAGGTCGTTTTGAACCAGATAAGGCATTATTTGTATTGGTTTCGTACTCTCACCATTTCCCAGTCATATGTCACACTATGACAAGAAAGCCTTGCTTCTGAAATAAAGCCACCTCCAGGCACTTGAGAAACATGTAGGTCATCTTCTCTGTCTTACCTCTGGGGATACCTCTAGGAAAAGTATTAAGCTTAAATACAGTGTGAAGACCTCTTGCCTCCACTGGTCATACAGCCTGGATTATTCATAATGTCTCTAGGAATGTTTGGTTACTCAGATTGCGTTTTCAGAATAAACCTTTTTTAAAATGACTCCTGAGATTCCTCCCTGGAAAAGAACTGAAAGCAGTAATTCAATCTGACAGTGTTTTGTTGTCCATAAATACATTTTTATACACTGATAATTAAGGCAGACAGCTGCTTTATTTAGTCAAACAGCTTTGTGAAACTGCTGATAATAAAACATGCTTGGCACATGCCTTGATTGATTGCTCTTAAGCTCTTGGGTATTCTGTGTGTTGCCAGGGTGTAAGGTAAGGGCCTGCTTGTCCGGGTCGAAGAAAAAGGTGCTTGCATCTTCTGAGAGGCGCCAGGGTTGCTTCAAAGACATATGATAATCACTGATGAATTATTGAAACTGTTTCCTGACACAGATTGGGGAAGGGAAAACATAGCCTTGTTTTTCAAATTGGCTATATGAGTGTCTTCACATCCTGGGATTTAGGGATCTGATTTGTTTCTGAATTATTCAGAAATCTCACTTTGCAGTTCAGCTCTTTTCACAAATGTGGAAAGGCATGGGGATTCAGAGCAAAGACTGAGTCAATCATTAAGAACCATATGTATGTGTCTGTGGTGGTTGCAATTGGTTACTAGGTGTGAGTTCATAATGTTCCAGGTGCTTTCTAGTAGGCTAACCAAACCTGTTAATTTCAGTTCTGATTTATTTCAACAGAATGTATAGTGAATTGGATACCATGGCTGCTGCAAGTCAGCATCAGGCGGTAGTGGGAGACGCCATTTCGGAAGCTCCACAGGTTCTGTCAAAAGAAGACTTTCTGAAATTGATGCTTCCTGACAGCCCCTTAGTGGAGGAGGGGAGAAGAAAGGTTAGCTACATTTATGGCGCTTTGGAGTTACCAGAACACCAAAACAAAAAATTAAAACGGGCTGAGAATTTTCAAAGTACTTCTATAAGCAGTGTCTCTCTTGACCCTTACACTAACTTTGTGGAAGTGGCATGTTTTAGAGCTTAAATTTTTTATTTGATAAGTAAGCAGCAGGTCATTAGTCGCATACCCCACAGAGTTTAAATTGGATGGAGTGAGCGTCAAATTCAGGTTCCAGTGACTCTCAGCTTTGGCTCTTTATGCATGTTACTTTATGTCTGCCTCAGGTGCCTCATCCCAAAAATGAAGATGCTGTATTGCAGACATAGAGTGATGGAAATAACATCTAAAGACCCTAACACCAGACCTGGACATATTAGGGATGGATAAATAACAACCATTAACAAATGCTAAAAGTAATTTCCTATCAGAATGCTTCAAGCCACCTACCTTTTGAACCAGAGCTCTGTCCTCTGCTGCAGGCAGGCTGCCCTCTGGTAAATGTAATCCTGTTCCAAAAGTGCGTTGCAGTTAGTCTGAGTCTCCCTCCTGGGCAGTCTCAGTAGGGTGGATGTGTACTTTGCTGTATGAGACTATGCAAAGACCACTGGGAAGATTGTACATTACGTTTTGGGTAGCAGCGTGCCTTCTTCACTCACAATGTTGTGCCTCCTTATCGATGTTAGAGGACTGATTGCTATCACTGCATTGAGTTTCATTATTACTATACCCTTAAACCCCTTAAATAATGTTGTTAAGTACCATGGAGTTGGTTCTGACTCACAGTGACCCTGCACAGTGTTTCCGAGGCTATAAATCTTTACGGGACCAGAAAGCCTCATCTTTCTCCCGCGGAACGGCTGGTAGTTTCCAACTGCCAACCTTGAGGTTAGCAGCCTGATTCATAACCACTATGCTACCAGAGCTCCTTAAATAGTACAGACTATTAAAAGTGGCATTGCAGGTTAGCCTAGCCCTTCTTTTTGGAAGTACTGAGTCCCTAAATGGTAAAATGTTAATTCACAAAATACGTCATGGTTGTGATAGGAGTGGAATCCAGATACTCTGACTTCTAACGGAGTGCTGCCTCTTGTTCAAATGAAAAGGAGGCAGGGGGCAATGGATGGGGGGCAGTGTGGAGAAAAAAGTAAAATTCAGGCTTTGGCACATTGACTGTGATCAAGGTAAAAGCCAATCTTGGTGCTCTTGTCTTCCCCGTAACAAAACAATGTTGCAATTAGCTTAATTGTGTTCTTATAATAACGCTGTAATTAGATAGTACCTCAAAGCCACTTTAATCTGTGTGCTTATAGTCATGTTTTAAAGGGCCTGCTGGTCATGTGTGAAGAGGGAGTCCCATAAAAACTTAATCATAGTGAGTCTTCTTTATAAACCTGTCTTAGATCATGTGTGGCACTGTGTAAACTAGGATGCAGAGGCAGACTTGTACAAAAGTGGCAAATGGCTTTTCTTTAAATAGGAGTGAACTTCTGCTTGGTATGTGTTTTATTTTCTTCTAAGACAAAGCACCTTGTTTTCATAGTGTAAATTTAACTTTACGGCTCACACACATGTGAGTTCCATTCATCAGTCAGGGAAGCTTTGGCAGAGTGGAAGGAACACCATACAATAGACATATTTTTAGCTTTCTTGTGGATTCACAAATGTAAATGGCCCAGTCTGTATCTGTTTGATGTGCACATTCTAGCTCTTACTATTGTTTGTGTAAAAGGAATGTAGCTCAATATGTAGCGGAAGGAGTTGGGAATTCAACTTTGATTTCATTTTTCTTGAGCTTTTAACCATTTGCTTGTTTAGTAAGAATTGCGCTGTGGGTTAATGCTTCAGACTGCAAAGCTGTTTGAACTGCAAGGATGGTGGTTCAAGCTCACCAGCTGTACCTCGGAAACCCTATACAGGGTCACTATGGGTTGGAGCCAACTCGGTGGCACTTAACAACAACCACCACTGTTTTAACGCCCAGTATTTTCATGGTTCCTTTAAATCGGTTTATGATCAATTATCATAAGACATTTTGCAATCATTGTAGTACAGAGTACTGGCCTGATACCATTTTCTGGAGCCTGTTTTATATGGTTCATTGTTGTTAAGTGCCATTGAGTCAATTCTGACTTAGAGTGATCCTGTATAGGGTTTATGAGGAGCAAATGGTGAGTTTGAACCACCAACGTTGGGATTCAGACTAAGCTTGTGGTCAAGGCACCACACCAGGACTCCCATATGGCTTAGAAAGCAGCAATGTTTCAAAGTAATTTATTATTATTTAGATCAGATTGAACTCATATGCAGTTAATTGGTACCAACTAATTGCCTAATATTAAAATCCAGCATTCCAAATTAAAAATCAAGCCAGCATTATGTGACTGTTGTCTGACTTGGCAATCTTATATATTTCCAGAAGCCATTGCTGCTATAAGGCCAGGGAGGTTCCATCTAACATTAGAATTAATAAAGCTATGCATGCCTAATTCCTGGTAATATTTCACAGAATATCAAAGGAGGAAAACATTAAAATCCAATCATTGCACTGAAACCCCAGTGCCTTTGCCTCAAGGCCCTCACATGACTGGCTCCATATTTCTAAGCACATGCTTTATGTCTGCCTGGGGAAAACCTCAAAGGATGTATCAAAATAGTCCAAGGATATACTGAATAAAGTAAAATAAATCCCATGTTGGTAGTTTGTTTAATGTACGTTCTCCTCCCCTGCTCTCCCCCTTGTGTTTAAAACACACCTAGTTTTTGTTTTATGGGAACCTGTCTCCAAGAAGGTCTCTGTACCGAACACTGTCTGACGAGAGCATCTGTAGTCATCGGAGAAGATCTTCTTTCGGCAGTTCTCGAAGTTCCATACTTGACCAAGCCCTGCCCAACGACATTCTCTTCAGCACCACCCCACCATACCACAGCACGCTACCTCCCCGGACCCAGCCTGTGCCCAGCATGGGGAGCCTGAGAAGTAAGTCATTGTCGCACTGTTCCAACATGTTCCCTGGAACAGAAGAGCCACCATGCTTTTATGACTTTGCGAGATTGTGTGTCTTGAAGGAAGGTGGTTTGGGTTTGGTTTTTCAGTAATTTTCAAATATAAGAAAAGAAAGCCACAGAATGAACAAGGTAAGCAGTACCTTGCCCATTTTGAAGAAAACTAAAAAACTTACATTAAACAGTTTTATAGTTAAATGCTTACTTCTAAATCATATCCCAGCTATTGCATCTAAAAGAAAAATGTTCTAAAACTCTTTTTTTTTTTTTTAAGTTTTTATTGTGAATTAGTAATAGTTTACGTGGGAAAACATCAGCTTTACATTCATCCTATCGTATTTCATTTCATTGCGATGATTACAGTCCCCTCCATGCATTATCAACCAACCAAAGGGTGCACCCCGCAAACTTGCCCCCTGGCTGTCAGCACACATCCCCTCTACCTCCCTGTAAAACTTAATTTTTCAGAAAAAGAAAATTGTGTAGTAGGGGGTCGGCTTTCTGTTGGGCAGCAGGAATGGGTTTTAGCTTTCTATTTCTATAATCTTTGAAATGGAATACAAGAAAGGATAAATCAAAACGCATTGCTGCTAGGATCCCAGTTCACATTCACACAGGTTTTTTCCAAACAAAATGTCTCTTCAGTCAGTGGGTGGCTGCGGACAAGTTCTCTTGGTAATAAACTTGTCTTAGTCTCATTAGGGTGCCTTCCAAAAAGGGTCCAATCAAAACAATGGCTTCCCAGATGATCTGCTAGGCCACCTACATTCAAGGCAAAGAGGTCAGCCCCTAAGGTTATGGGGACTATTTTTGTAGACTCCAGAGGGGTAATTTTATAGATTTTCTGCAAGGACACAGGATGCTCCTGGGTACTTATTATAAAGAAAACAACTGTGACGGTGAGAAAAAGGCCAGGAAAGTTGCACCAAGGAATATTTCCACCAGCGTAATGCACCTGCTGATATTTACAAGGGCTCACCTACAGTAATTTCATTGGCAAGCCTTTACCCCATTTGTCCTAGAACCCTGGTTTTGCTCCTTCAGACTTGTCTTTGTTCCCTAAATTCAAAAGTCATTGAAAAGGAGCATGATTTGAGTCCCTTGAGGTGGAGTTAAACTGCAGTTTTGATGCAGTATAAATTGAAGAGTGCAGGATTCTTCAGGGCAGGGTTAGAAAGCCGTAATCACCACCTTCAGAAGTACACAGACTTTGATGGAGGCTAGATTGAGACAGTAGCTTCACACTTTGATGTTTTTGTTTAATGTAAGTTTCTATGATTTTGTAGCAATCCTTTTTGACGGCCCCTCATACGTGATGCTGGGGAATGGTGGTCCCGAATCACAAGGCCTGCGTTTTAGATCTAGTTTGCCTTCCAGAGTTTTTGTATCCTTGTGTTTGTGACTTACATTCTGTGTCCCAATACACTCATTTTTTTTTTTCCTCAAATCCTCAAAATGTCTGACTTTTATTTATATACTGTCAGTGCCTTATTAAAATCTCACTTTCTACTAGTGATTTTTAAACTGATTAGATTTACTTTTTTAGGTACTATTTGTTGCATAGAATGAATGGGAATTAATCAGAAATGTATGAAGGGGTATCAAAAATCCATGGAAACATTCCATTACCTTTTAATTACATTGTTCCATGAACTTTTTGAACTCCTCTCATACTCATTGTCAAGGACTTTTTATTTCTTTATAGCAAGCATTACCTTTAAAAATGATTTGAACGTTATAGCCTACATAGAAGTCTCATACTAAATAAAATCATCGTTTTAATAACATTTCTAATGTTTAACATAACTGGGAATGAAACTTTTCTTGGAAAATTCATTTTCTATTTCTTTAAATAGCATAATATCTTGCCTATTATAAAGTATCCAAAACGTCCCCAAAACTACTGCCAGTGAGGTGATTTAGACTCATAGTGACCCTACTACATACAGAAAAGGGCAGAACTGCCCCCTCAGCTTCCTGAGACTAAGTCTTTAAAGGGAACAGGTAGCCTCATTGTTCTCCCTTGGAGCATTTGTTGGGTTTGAACCACTGGTCTTGTGGTCAGCAACCCAGTGCACCACCAGGGCTCTGTATACAAGGTCCATTTACCTGAAGTGAAGAAAATTTTGAACTCTTTCTTTATAACCATGTGAAAGGTCAGATATATTAATACCTCAAATTTATCCAAATATCTTCTGTGTAAATTGTGGTGGTGGTGGTGGTGGTGTGCCGTGGAGTTGGTTCCTACTCATAGCAACCTGTATAGGGTTTCCGAGGCTGTAAATCTTTACAGGAGTGGAAAGCCTCATCTTCCTCCCATGGAACAACTGGTAGTTTCGAACTGCTGACCTTGAGGTTAGCAGCCCGATTCATAACCACCATGCAAAGTCGGTTCCAACTCATAGTGATCCTGTATAGTTTCCAAGGAGTGGCTAGTGAACTGCCAACCTTGTGGTTCCTACCTACCTTGCAGTCTAGCACGTTAGCCCATAGCATCACACCTAATGTTACCTACCATCTCTCCATAGTACTCTGCACTCAGTTGGGTTCACTGATTCACTGCCATGGCCACACTGGACTCAGACACTATGCTTACAGTTGGGGACTTTACCCAGGAAGTTGACAGGTTACTGTGCTGGATCACAAATGCTTAGGGCCCAGTTCTTCCAGTCAGGACAAGCTCTCCTCAGCTCTTCCCACAGGCAAGCCTCTCTCTGCCTTGGCAATGTTACAAAGGTCTTTGAGGGTTGCTGATAAATGTCCACAGGACACATGACCCCACCCTAAGTCTCAGCCTGAAGGCATTCAGCTCTGGCTCCCTCAGTGAAGTGCCTGAGGCGCACTCTACTCTGCAGTCAAGCCTCTTACCCAGAGTTCACTGTGTTTCACTTGTTCCATGGGCTGCAATCCCACAGCTGTGTTTCCTGCTCTGGTTCTTGGTTCTGCTGCTGCCATCAGCTCTTCTGCCACAATTCTGGTGTCAGCCTTTTCTGCCTCTGGGATCGCAGGGTCCAGAGGATGTGCCTGCTTCTGAGATGGCTCATTTTATACCCATATTTGAGTTTCAAGTATGTTCCATTAACTCTGAGCAAGTACAACTGAATCACATTGTCCTACTGGTGTTGTCTCCTACCTCCTCTTAGTCAGACTCAGCAAGAAAGGAGTCGTTTGGTGAGAGTCACCAAGACTAAGGCTAGAAGAGACATTAAATTCGCTACATAGAGGAGCTCTGGTAGCGTAATGGTTACGGCTCAGGCAGCTAACTTCAAGGTCAGCAGTTTGAAACTACCAGTTGTTCTGCGTGAGAAAGATGAGGCTTTCTGCTCCTGTAAAGATTAACAGCCTCAGAAACCCTATACAGGGTCGCTATGGTTCGGAACCTACTCCACGGCATACCACCACCACCATCACACCATAATCAGTAATTTTGGTGTTGGTGTTGGTGTTAAGTGTTGTTGAGTCCGTTTCAATTCATAGCAACTCTGTGTAGGTTTTCCAAGGAGGGGCTTGTAGGTTCGAACCACCAACCTTGTGATTCAAACTGACCTTGAGATCCGGTGTTTGCCTTATAGCACCACACCAGGATAACCATAGGTAACTTTCTATCCTCTTAGAAATTTTCTTGAAATCAGTACAGCTATTTACAAATGTTATTTCTTTCATTGAAAATTCTTGGAATATGATTGTGAGATCTCTAAGTGTATGTGTTAATGCAGCTCGTACATTCCACCATTCATTTTGCTTGCATGTATGTAATGTACTAAAGGCATGCACGGAACACAAGCAAGATTCACTGCTTATCCATCGTCTGAGATCAGCCTTCCTTACCTGCCTACATTGGCCAATTTTCTATGGAAGACAGTAAGAGCAGCACTTGCTTTTTGAAGTTTTTACTGTGCATTGCATGCTAGTTTACATGGGAGAGCATCGGTTTTACACTCATTGTTTCATTGCAATGATTACAATCTCCTCCATGCACCGTCATTCAACAGAATTTGCTTCTATTTCCTCTGGTGGTTTTTTGTTTTTGTTTTTGTTTTTGTTTTTTGAGGTTGGAGGGGTGGGGGGGGGAAATGTACACAAAAACACTGTGAGCTAATGCATCAGACCGCAAAGTCATTTGAACTGCAAGGTCGGTGGTTCCAGCTCACCAGCTGCTCCTTGGAACCCTATACAGGGTCACTATGAGTCGGAACCGACTCGATGGCACTTAACAACAACAAACAGCCAAAGGACACATTTTAAAAACCTCCTGGCCGCCAGCACTCAGCCTTTCTCTTTCCATGAGTCTCGAGTCCCCAGCTGCTTTCTTTGTCCATGCCATCACCTCTGCCTCCATCTCTGGTATCGTTACTTCTCAGGATAGGGCCCCACATTCCACTTGGAGAGGCACTTGTTTTTGCTATTCTCTAATAAACCTTTGTTGATGTAATTCCTCTAGTTTCTATACTTTAGGAACTACTCAAAAATGATCCATGTTTGATGGGTGAAATGGCAAAATGTAAATGAGAAGACTAGAAAGTATTTGTATTGATACCAGTATCTTCAGAATTTCTTCTGACATCCACCAGCCTGCCGCGAGGAGCATTTAAGCTTCAAGGAAGCAGTTGGCATTAATAGACTCTAGTTCCTGGGGCCTAGTGACTACCACAGTCACCTATGTGATTTTATTACTTCTCTATTCTCTTCAAGACCAATGTTCCTAGTCTTCAGTTCTGTGGTTTCTGATATAGCAACACACTACGGTATACTCTTTGAAATTCATTTGACAGTTTGAAAGTAGGGCAACCAGAGAGCTGAAATGTGAATGCTTACACCAAGCAGATGTCTTTGAATGGGAAATAAGGATTATTTGTATTTCCCCAATTGGATAACGTTTCTCAGATTTCGATTCATATTTAAACAGGGAGCAAAGGGTAGTTTTGTTGAATCTTCTTGCATTGCGTAGTTAAATGTGCTATGTTAAGCTAGGCA